TCTCTCTCTTCCCCCCGCTCCACTTCTCTCTCTTCCCCCCGCTCCACAACCACCTTCCCCTCCCCCCTCCTCCCTCTAGAATTCCTAGTGCCAACTCCAGGCAGTAAAGGTTAGGCAGCTGCCTCTCTGGACCAAAAATCAGCCAAGTGTTTGATTTGTTCTGAATTGCCGTTTGGTTTGGACATCTGTTTTTATTATTAGTGGTGGAAATGGTTGTGATGGTATAGTGGAGAATGGCCTCACTGGGTAACAGAGTTATTTGACTTGCCGTGGATGTGGGAAGGCAGTGTTGGATGTGTTTATAGGCCGTGGTGGGAGTGGGGTTTGGGATCCCATGGAAATATCTCCAGGAATTTGGGGCCAGCTAAGAGTTCGGGGTCAGCATCAGTTTGGGGGATCTCTCTCTGTTGGCTCGAGGAGGTTATGATTTTTTTTTTTTTCACTTCCAGCCCAGGTCAGGGTTGCGGGGGGAGCGGAGGGGTTTGGTGGTGAGAGACAAATTCACCGGTAACCAGTCGGGAACAGGTTTGGGAGTGGTGATTTGCGGAGGTTGGATTGAGATAACTGGCAACACGGTGGCTCAGTGGTTAGCAATACAGCTTCAAAGTGCCAGGGGACCCAGGTTCGATTCCACCCTCGGGGCGACTGTCTGCGTGGAGTTTGCGCATTCTCCCTTGTGTCTGCGTGGGTTTCCTCCGGGCGCTCCGGTTTCCTCCCGCAGCCCAAAGGTGTGCAGGTTAGGGTGAATTGGCCATGAGCAGGGCTAGCCACGGGAAAGGTGGGTTATGGGGATAGGGTAGAGGGGGTGGGTCTGGGTGCGGTGTTGTTCCCAGGGTCGATGTGGCTGAATGGCTAGCTTCCACACTGGAGGGATTCCATAAACTCTGGGCTGATGTACAGGTCGGAAGAGGGCAGGTGCCTGTTTTTCAGAATGGAATGGGTCTGGATCCCTGACGGACCTCATGCCACACTTCCCTTGACAGCAGGGTGAGCGATCGAGGATTTAAAACCCTGCACTGGTGGCAGTTGGTGACCTGACCCCCTCTGCTTTGTTCCAATGTCGCCCTCGAAATGTCCGATTGGCCAAGAGCAGGCCACGGTGGTAGATGTGGCTGTTCAGGGCAGGTACAAGTAGTTTCTTTCTGTTCCACCTATTCTCGAGAGCACCAAGCACCACAACGTGAAGGTGTGACTGCGTTTTATAAATTTTAAAGACGAATCGAAGTGGGTAGGGGGTCGGGGTGGGTGAGTGGTGGTCGCAGTGGGTCAAGACTGCCTTGCCGATGTTTTGAGGCTTGATTGCACACTGAAGGCTGGGGTTTTACAGTGAGGTTTTTAACACTGCGTTTTAGTTGTGTCTGCTTGCGAGGCACACTGTATATACTGTAGAAAGACGTATTTGTACATGACTAGCCAATCAGAGAAAAAAAAATGAAAATAAGACAGCTTTATTACCTCATGCAAGCTCATATAAACCAATAGAATTACTACACATTCTACCGATTTTAGACTGCTCACATACTACCTCTGACACCATTCACTCTATAGAGAAAAAAAAACGTTTTTTGAACCTTTTTTGATTGTTTTTTCTCTTCCTTTTTGAAGTGTTATTCAGGTCAGCACAAAATTGCAGTGTAATGATTTTTATCTGAAGGCACTCGGGGGTTGGGGTGTTGGGGGGGTGGGAGGAGGGTAAATATTAATTCCGACCTTTTCCCACTTGTTGCACGATTCTGCTGTCTAAATAATCTTTTATTTTTGTTTGAAGTGTAAACCAAAGACCCAGTTTTTAATGACGCTTGTGGCCGATTTTCAAGTGTAACTCAAAGGGTCAACGTCGCCATGCACCCGAGGCTTCGGCGGGGAGTGGCGTTTCACCCTGCTCCCCCATCCTCTCCCCCATTGATTTGAGCTTGCTTCCTCATGTAGGAGTTGCGCCTCTTCTCCTTGGCGTTGGTTACCACGAGAAGGAAGTGGCTCTTCTCCAGCTTTATGCTGCTGCCCCTTTTTGTTTTCCTTCCAAAGGTGCACGCCCCTGAGACTCGGTGGTGGAGTGTCCTTGACCAGTCGACCTGGCTGCCCCCCCTCCCCGGTGGCGATTAGCCCTCACGATGGGTCTGCTGGACCAAGCCATTTCCAATGGCAGTGGTCCCCATTCATGGGGGCAGGTGGAGGGCAGCGATGGGCGCCGGATCAGCTGGGTGTGATTGGGGGGGGATGGGGGGGCGGGGGTGCCGGGGAAGGGGAGGGAGGTCCCACCCGCAGTCTCTCCCCTTTGGCAGCTGGGGCTCGGGCACCTTTATGTCAGGTCAGTCAGTGGGGTGGTGAGAGGGATGAGGCAGCCGAGTGTGATCTTGGTGAAGGATGCTGCTGACGGCACCAACTCGAGTGGCAATGTGCCTTCCCGGTTTTCCAGGGCTTTGAAATCCTCTTCCACATCGGCTTTCAACGTGGAAAGCGATCTCTTTGGGATCGATATCTGAGGAGGAACGGTGGGGGACCGCTCAGGGGGTTTTTGAGAGAGAGCCTCCGTCCCGGGTCCGGTGCAAACCTGCCTTCCCTGGAACAAGTCCGGTTGTGTAGAGGACACTGCGAATTGTCTTCCCCCTCGCCTGCCCTGTCCCTAAACCGAAGCAGCTTTGCTCGAAGCAGAATGTCCCTGTGATTAAAGAAAAAGAATCTACATGGTGTACTCCAAATGGCCCCCTCGCTGTTTTATTCTTGGAATAGATTGGAACCCGCCCAGAAACCAAACTTCAGCCTTCCCTCCACGTTCTCCCAGCCCCCAGCTCCACCCCAAAGCCCTTGGATTGTGTGAAGGTCACTGCAGGAATGAGATGGGGTAGTTGGGTCTGAGATTGCCCTGACCCAGAGCAGAGTCCCCCCCCCCCCCCCCATCCACGGGAAAGCGGCCTGAGGAATGATCGGAAGGTTACATTTGAAAATTGACTCAAGCGTGGCCAGTAGCCGCTGGTGTTTTGGTTTGGCTTAAAACCGCCATGTTTTATCATCCTCCCTTGCCCCCACCCAATCCCCTCCGTCCAGTTTTGTTGTACTCCTTGTATGCTTTATGATATCAACGTGCACGTGTCTCTTTTTTTTAATATTGAAAAGGAGAAGAAAGGCAAAAAAAAAATTACAGTCACTGAGAAAGGGTTGTGGTTTCTCGTGTAAATGAATTTTTAAAGTTGCTGTTTCTGTTCCAAATGGTCTTTTGTTCTTGCAGAGTTCTTCACAGTCGACGCTTAAAATGTCTGCCGGTGCCACAATCTGTGGGGGTTGAGGGTGAGGGGTTGGCAGGGGATGGAGGGGCCGAGGGATGCTGGGGAGGTCGGGGGTTGGGGGTTGGAGACGGGGATTCGGGGATGGTAGTGAGCTTCCTGGTGGCAGGGGATGGTGGTAACGTAGCCTGTCTCTTTGAGTATTATGCTGCCATTCTGTGCTGCTCAGTAACCATGATTGCTTTGAATAAACT